TTAAGTACTTAATATCATTAATGGGGCACTAATTTGTAGGATGTCATACAAACTGCTGTATATGGATACGTTGCCAATCTACACATGCACAGGTCAAATATATTCACCACAGAGCCATGTCTTTTGGATTACATACTGAGCTTTCTTTATAATACCATAGGTTTTGTGTAAATTGAATTTGTGCCTGTACCATAGCACTATGTTGGGAAAATGTACTTTTCACATGGTTAAGTTCTTTTAAGATTAAAATCTTTGTCAAATTTGAAATAAGGTCAAAGCAACATGACTAACTTCCTGATCAAAAACACACAATCCCAAATATTTGTGTATCAGTTACATTAAAATGCTACTCATGTATTGTGGGTGAAATTACCGTTTCTACGCTTTGTTTAAATGTTTGAGGATGAACAATGTTTGTGGATGGTATTAGGCATCAGACCTCCATGTCAGTCGCATCTGGACAGCGTGCTCAGGCACTGAGTCACGCTGCAGCCCAACAGAAGGGTCTCTATAGTGATCGGCCTCATGGTAAAAAAAAACACACTCTGTGGTACTGGAGATGAGGCGAGTACAGTATATCAGTTTCATCTCCAGATAATGGTGTAATTGTCTCTTTCTTCTTAAGGTTAGTCACATCCTTAATGGAGGGTCTTTTTTCCCTCTCTTTGGGTGTCACATGGCACTCAGAGCTACATATGGGGAGACATTAAACACAGCCTTCATGGGGACACCCGGGTGGATCAACCAGTTAGGATGTGGGTGATAATCCTGAGAGGAATGGAGATGAAGGGAAACAGTGTGTGATATGCGGGTGAGGTTTAAAGATGGTGGAGTTTCAGCTTCTCTGGGCCCCACAGACCGAGGCCTCCTACTGTCCCCTGAGAGTGTGACTCCTTTGTGTCTCAGCCATACCTAAGATCCAGAGTCTGCCGCAGTTCTCCTGAGCTTGAAAACAGAATCACACTAAAGGAATTTGGACCATAGCTGGTATTATCGTGCGGATGAGGGCCCCTATGTCCATGTAAACATCTGTGTGAAGATGGATGGTGTTGGGACTCATAACCTTGGCAAAATTAGCACATGAAAGGTAGAGAGACTGCAGGAGGGCTATTTTAACCGCTCATATGGGCCCCTCTATTAGTCTCCCATTCACTCTCAAACAGACACACGCATGCCGCTGTTATTACACACTGCATGTTGGTTACTTTCAACATCCGTCGCAGTGACTAACTCTTCCGAGACAATCGGCTGAGTAATTTTGTCATAATTGTGATTAATGTTCTGGCGGGTCACTGGCAGTGTTAAGGCAATTAACAACACTCAGTGCCCCCCTTCACACAATCAACAAGTCATTTGCAAATCATTACTTGGGATTTTTCGAAGCGAGAGTGTGCACTCGTGGAAATGTGCTACAGGTCATCTGATACAAGAACAGCTACGACTCTGCTAATGTCTCCCCTGGGGAGTGTGATTTTGGTCCACACGATGCCCCAGGGCAGTGGCCTGGTCCGGGACAGGGGGGTAAATAAGCAGCAGGAGGGGAGCTGTGGTTGAGAGAGAGCAGGAGCTGTGGATACACACACGCACACACACACACAAACACACACACACACTAATGCACATTTCAAACCATCTTTTTTCCCATCTTTATTTTCTTGACTCGCTAAAGCTGGGTGCCAAGGAATTTGGGACAACCCTTCAACCGGAAAAACTGAAGATCAATCCCACATAACAACCAAGTGTCTGCCCTGCAGTAGCTGACCCTGTGCTCAGAGCTAATTGCTGAGAGGGCGAAACAGAAGATGTTAAGTTTTCCTTTAGGGGATTAAAAGTGGATGCAAAACTAGTCCATTCCCTGTTATCAGTAGGCTTTAAAAAGATACACGGATGTCAGAGAGTTTACCACAACAATAAATATGTTTTTCCTCAAGTGTGGATGTACATTCGACCAGATAACAGAAGTGTGGACATGAGTCACATGACTTGATGACTTTAGACTTGATTTGACAAAATCAAAAAAGACTAGCAACTCAAGAGGATTCTAACACCAATGATTTGTGACTTCACATGGACTTAAGCCTTTTGACTTGAAATACTTGATACCTTCTCCAAAGCCCAAAGATTAAGAAGTATATTATTTAAAAAGTTTGCCGCAAATCAATTCATTTCCCTTTATTTCTTGAATCAACAAACGTTAAAGCTATTCATTCCAAGCAAGGTGACACTTAATTCCCCAGATGATCCACTTTGGTTGAACCAATCCAACAGCATCCAGTTGAGATGCAGGAGAGAACCATGAAGAGCTTAGTTAAGTTACTGAGTGCAATTGGAAATATTGATACCGAAGATAATGACAAAAACTGTGATTGGTGGTTGAAAAATGAATTGCAGTATTTAAAACGTTCAGGTTTAAAATTACAGGCAGACGCACAACAACTTCCAACAAAACCTTTTAACATATCAATACGAATTTTAAAAAGCATTCATTCTGTGAATAGGGAATTATGACTTGTTTAAGACTCGAAACTCAAAATTTAGGACTTCGTACTTGTCAGTGTTGTGTTTGGACTTCACTCAGGAAAGCTTGTCTTGACTCAGGACTTGAATACAAAGACTTGATACTAACATGTGGCTTGCAAAATGCTGGCTTGGTCCCACCTCGGCCAAATAAGACATACAAACCAGAGAGCATTCTCATGGTTCACAAGCAAACATAATCAGACCTCCAGTGGATCACAAAGCACTGAGGAACACCAGATCTGTGTGCACTCACATCGTCACCCTGCCAGTTCAAACAATTCCAAAATTTCAGATCACAGCTGCTCAGTAACAGACCTGATAGTTTTCATTTCCATCGAGGAGATTATTGTTGTTTTGTAACATTTTACTCCTCCGTGGTCAAAACCACACTGACAAAGGAGTGTCTGCGTTTTGACCACCTAAAATGCTCCGAAGGGCAATTTTCATGATCCCTTGACATTGCGGGTGGTGACAAACTATATGGGCCTTTAAATTGCTGTGTTCAGCTGCCAGCATGGCTGGAGGTACTGAGCCAAGTTAATAGTCTTGGAGCAGAGTTAGGAAGTGACATCACACATGTGTACATACTCACTGATACACACACATATACACACCGACTAACATTAAAACTGACCCTAGGTTAACTTTACCACCTTGTAGTTTTTATTAAAAACTGGCCTGACCGGGGAGAGGAATGTCCGCTGGGACCTTCTTGAAGTGGCTTTACATGACCCCTGTTACCTTCTCATGCACACGTGTACGCACACACAGACACAAAAAAATCATATTTTCATGCTCAGCATTTCATGATGAATAACCACTAAGTGGAGTTTCACTGGCTGCACATCTGGGAGCCCTTACAGCTAAAGATGGAGGGAACATACTGTAAGTTAAATGAGCACATACGTCCTGCGCATCCCTTATTTCGATGTCACTCTTTGCATTTCACATGACAATTCTTTATTCGTCTGTCAAGGTGTCAGTTTTTTGTCTGACATTGCGGTTGAACTCCAAACCCCAGCAGGGTTTTGAAGGCGATGCTGCATATAATTTTCATATGTCCTCTTGTGTTTTGTACATTCCCAGGCCTCTGAATGAATCAGTCCAGCGCTGGCTGTACAGTTCATACCAAGGTGCTGAGTAGCCTTCTGGTTTAATTTTTTTTCTGAATATTTCACAATATCATAAAACACAGACCTGAATCAACCTTTTAAACTCAGTTTTTGAATTAAAAGGGATTTTCTTCTCCTCCAGAGGGACAGTGAGTCACAGCCATTTAGTTCTCTTAGGTTTGGTGATGAATGTGTGAAACACGTTGGGGGAGCAGATGTGTGGTGTGTTGATTTAGGCTAGGTGCCCAGCTTGCCTCAAGTACCAACATGACACTGAGGAAGATCTGTCATGTATATGTGCTAATAATTCATTTAATCATGTTGTTCTGTTACACACAAGTAAACTTGAAGTGCAGCGCCATTAGTGCTTTTACACACCTCATTTACTTTCCAAGGCCTCTTGTTTAATCTACACTTTGTTCTCTCTATATATTTAAATGAGCTGTTGTGATTCTCAGACACATTTTACATGAATGAGCTAATCTTATAAGCAGTGTAATGTTTTCAGACATTTCTTGCATTTTTACCCCACGTTTTCCTTTAACAGGTAAATGTAATATGCACATAAAACACAACTTAAACTACACCTCAGGCTTCATGGCACCAGTTACAGTCCCTGCATGGTTTAACTGGTGGGTGTTGGCAGTGATCCCAAGAACACATTGACTTAACTATAACAAACAACTGCTTTTCATTAGAGGACATGTCATACTTGTATGTTTTTGAACAACCCACATAGAGCAGTGACAATGTAGATAATTACTAACCTGGTCTTATAGAACTATGTGAAATGACCATGACCTCTGAACACTACTTTATGTAGTGGTGGCACATATTGTGTTGAAATTACATGTGGCACCATGGAAACAATGCCACTGGAAAGTCAAGGAGGATCCTTCCCAGAAATTCAACGACAGAAATCCCCAGGTTCAACGACATGATGAATATTATGACTCCAAGAGCAAGAAAGTCCACATAGGGAGGGGATCAGGGTGGGTGGTTTTGGATGGATGAAAGAAACACCCAACATTCACCTGGGAGACTGTTGCTTGTTTTCCTTGTGAAACTAAAAGTCAGTTGACTTCTTGTAACTTGACATTCTTTTTGTAGTTATGTCATGCACATGACATACATTTATGGCGTTCTTACATCCCGTATGTAACAAAGCACGTTATTATAATCAAAAACAGTCTCTTTCTAAACCTAACCAAGCAGTATTGGTGCTTAAAACCTTACATGCAGCCACCACATACAATACGCGCCACAACCACATAATGCAGTGTTCAGAGGTCATCGTCATTTCAAATATATCTGTGAGATCACACTGATAAGTAAATGATAAAATATTGATGATTGAAGGCAAATGACTTGTGAGCAATTTTAAGTTTAATTGAAATATGCTCAGTGCACAAATGGTTTACTCAGAGTACAAATAGTTCACACTTAAAGATATGAGGATGTGTCCTCTGTGTGATAAAAATGTCACATGAGACAAGCTGCCCAATCTTCACATTGCACGGGAGGAAAATACTTGTTGCTACCTGCTGATGCCTGCAGTGATATCAGGTTAACACAATCAGTCCATACAGTGATTTAATCTTAGTAATTTCCACTCCGAATTTGCACACCAGAGCTAAATCAATGGCTTTATCTCACACGAGCAGTGCTGCTGATTCCGCTTTAATCCCGCTTTAACTGGAGTTCAAAGCTAATCAGCAAACACAGCGAAAAGGGTCGAGGACTGCCACTCACAGGCCTTTATCTCTCCCTGATGTTTCAATCAGCGGACCACTCTCATCACAGAAACTACTGTGCTCCGCATCACATAATGCCCTCAGAGGGAAGTGAAAAGTTCATCCCTTTTAGCCCTAATGTTTTCCTAATGGTCGCTTGTTGAGTTAATAGTTAAATAACAGGCAGAATCATTGTCCTTGCCTTTTATTTGCCCTTGTGAGTAAAGCTAAACACATGTTCACACATCAAAGTCTTTAGACAGACCTTCTGACCTACTCATACAGTAAGAGCTGTGTGTGTTGGCTCTGGAAAACCTTGATTTACACCAAATACAAAGAGTCACTCAACTGAACTGTGTGTACATGTGCATCTGTGGCTGCATATTTACGACGATAAAGGCTTGTAACATGTTGAGGAAAGCATATATTAAAAATAATAACCATAACATTTTAAAGATTTCCTTTTTTACTGACCAGCTTCACAATAAAACACTGACTGGATGACCCAATTGTGAGAGTACAGTTCCTTCATTTAAATGTTTAGATTTAATATATAAATGCATACAAGAGTACAAAAATAAAACATTTGTATAATATTAATTTTACACGTGACAAGGAGATTTAAATGGATAGGTGGAGAGATTTCCCAGGCGTTAAATGCAGTTACACATTCAATGATCAGAGATAACAGAATGGAAACAGCCTGATTAACATAGAAAAGGCAAAAGACAGAATTTAATGATCAGACTTAGTGAGTAATAGTAAATGTCGTTAAAATACATCAGATATAAAGTGCATTGCTATCTGCATGACAGTTGTAGGTAGTCCCATCTATGTACATCTATTTATTGTCAGTAATACTACTTCTACATTTTCTACTGTGGCTCTCAGTTTAACATAGTGTGGTAACAAACTGCAATACACCCTTCATTGAAATGGACATTCATACTATGGGTTTATTTTAATCAGAATCCCGCTGACATAAGTTCTTTTTTTCAGTTCGAAAAGACATCTAACTGTAATTTGTGAGTGCCACCATTTAGTTCCTAACATCTCTTGCTAAGCGTCATAGCTTTATGATTCCAGTAAATTTCGTCTCATTGGTCGCCCAATTAAAACAGTTTGGTATCCAGATGTTCAGCTTTTTCTCTACGAACGGAAAAAAGCAGGCATGTTTGGTAACACACGGTCGCATAATCACAGCCACAGAACAGCTCAGGAAATGCTCGAGCTCTTCTGGCATCCTAATTTCCATCACAAAAACATTGTAATAGCCATTTTTACTAGGATCTTTTATACATCTTATATTCAGTCTGGGGGTAGCTGGCAGCCATTGAAATTCCACGGTGCCAATTAACTTGAAACATGAGTTACGACCTGGCAAAGTCTGCGACTCGGCTTGTTTTTGAGAGGAGACGCGACACATTGTTGTTCATTTTATACAATTTAAAATCAGAGATGGTGAGGATATGCAGATCCCATGATTGGGATTAGATGTAATGAATCTGTATTCTGCTGTCTTAGCAGAAAACACAACTCTGCGACTCGCAAGTGGGATGTTAACTCCTGTTTGTTGTGAAGAAAATCCACTCGCTGACCTACATCCCCCCTTAAACACTTTGACCCCGGGGTAGATCCTTTCTCCTAAATGACAGAGAGGCCAGAGGGACAAGAGAATCTCCAAAAATAGCTCTCTACTGTTGATGCCCATTAACAAAAAAAAGTATATACATTATAGTTAGAAAAACATACACTCACAGATATAATTGCACTTTGCACTAATAACGTCTACATCTCTATAAGTGATGAGAGCGGTGACGGTGAAGACTGCGACAGGGCTGGTGAGCTGGTGTTCACGGTGAAAAGTTGTAGATTCATTCCATGCAAAAGGCCGCAGCGTAGCGGCCGGGATAAGTGCTGTTCAACATACCAGATGATCTCATATCACATGTTACATAGCTGTGATGGTTCAAACCCTCAGTGATGGCTCAGGAGGATATCTGCAGGAGATTTTAGTTGCTCTGTTTGGATTTCTTCATCCTGGTGGAAAAAAAGCAAATTCATTGTGTGTTTTATACCACAACATTTTCCCACCAAAATTTACATTCATTTGGACAAACATTTGACTGTGAAGACATAACTAGTTAACACCATGTTGAAAATGAATGAGTATTTGTTCAGGCATGATTAGATGTCAGGATTATAAAGAGAAGGTGCCAAATTCAGGACACATTTGGTCCCAGCATTCTCAGCAAAAACAAAAACAGCTGCTTCAACTTTACTGGGCCAAAATGTTTTTTGACCTCTAATCAAGAACTTAACAACTTGAATTAATCCTGCGTTCAGTTTCAGCTGGTTAATCAGCCCCCTTTAAGCCCATAAGCCAGTTGGAAATCTCTGACTCCAAACCTTTGAGTCAATTACTTGTTGACAGGTTGAGTTTTTCTTTCCAAGAAAATTGTTTTGTAATTTTTGGCTTCATTGCTAGTAAATGAGAAACGTAACCCTGTCATCGTTCATCTAAAGATGTAATTTTTGCAGAACATTAATTTGCAGCAGCTACAGAGTGATAAACACATACCCCTGCACGTACTGTATATTACCAGGATAAACACTTGAACTTGGGTGGGCAGTTTAATTATTGACATTGGAATAACATTCTGTAAATACTGAGCCACATTTCAACTGGTGAAAACAGTAATCACGGTCTCATTTACTTGACTAAAGAGTAGCATAATGCATGACTTACAATGGTGTGTCTTTAGACACATTGTAAATAGGTTTGTCCCTCTATGTGTAATTGGAAACACATTAGGTCTGATCCATTTTAAACGACCGCTGTCTACTCTTTACATTGGGCTGTTTTGTTATGCAGAGGACCGTTCACACCTTGACGAGTCAAGAGCTCTGCAATCATGCTCGAGACAGACAGTCTCCCAGGGTGTGGGAGGGTATTGAGTGTGTATGTCACAGGATGGAGCATCAACATCCTCAGTGATAGCAGCAGGCTATTTAGTTTTCTTCATGGGGAAAGAAAGGAAATTCACTTTTCTTTTGCATCCCCAAACTCTTTATCGGTCTCCATAGTGCAGAAGAGTTTGTTTCATGCAACCTCTACAGGGGTGCTTCATCCTTAGAAGCATATGACTGCACAGAGTTCAGGATGGCAACTTGATCCCTTCTACAAACTCTATGGTGCCAACGTTTTTCAGAGAAGTGTCTCCTTCCTCTGGGCAGGAAGCAGACAGTTGATGTTGGCAGTGATTTTTAGCCCTCTCAGTCTGAGACAAACTATGCATGTTGTTGCATTAAAGTCACATTAAGTGACCAAAAAGCACTTCTATTATATTAAACCCATACTGAGCTGAAAACACATTAAAACTGTGTCTTGCATAAACAGTAATGATCAGGGATTAACTCATAACAACAGTCTTGTTAGAGCAGATTAAACATGGTTTTGAAGTTTGTGTTTTATCTGACATCAAACCCGCAGTTTGTGTGTGAAAGTAGAAACAGTTTCTACTCGCACTTTGTCATGTTTCAGCATGTCTCAAGTTTGCGCTCCAGTATAAATTGAGCAATTAAAAGCTGTCACTTTCACAATAGTCCATTGATCGATGTCCAAATGGGCCTTTTGCCTCCCTACTTTCAATTTCAATAGTGTGGAACTGATTTTACAGTGCTGCCGATGAGTTATTTGTTAAAGTTTGACAACTGACAGCAGCTGACAGACCCACATATTGCAGCAAACACACAATCCACAACCAAAATCAGTCTGATTTGATGCAGCTTACTTGTTAATGGCGTTCTTCAGGTACTGCTGCAGCCACCGGATCTCCGGGTTCACACACACCTCTTTGTTTGTCTTCAGCTTGGCACTGATAGAAAAAGGGAGATTTCAGCATGTGTCAGTTATGCCTCAGTTGAAGATGAAAGGTTGAATTATGCAAAGCCAGTGACATCAGGTGTCTTCACACATTCTCATTAAACAGAATGAATTAACACGGCTTTGTCGGTTTTTCACAGTGGTGACCAATCAGCCTCATATGTGATGCTGCTGCAGCTTAAGAACATGTGCATTCATGCAGCCCAAAGTTGAGTTTTGTGTTTCACCCTTGACTGAACTGCCTAATTAATGTGTTGTAAAGATTTGAGTACATAAGAGTGGAGCAGTCAATCCGTCAACATGTGGCTACGTTCTAAATCCAGCATAACCTTGTGGTTATTTACAGAATGGGTCAAGACTGGATCATATGTCTCTATGTGGGAGATCATGCCTCCTTTGGCGCACACGTCCTGTTTTTATGTAACAGAAATCTGTTTTTCTCTCTTCCTGTTGTGGATTTCTTGAACCTGCCAATTATAATTCCCCTGCATTTAATTGTTCCTGAAGTTTTCCTGTCTATTGTAACCGACTGCACCATGCTTGTGTTTCTCCTCACTTTAACTCGTAAATTCACTCCACACGAGGCCGTAAGAATGAATGAGATCAAACCCAAAAGGTTGTACGCACAGCACAAGGAGGCACAGCTGCGTGACAAGCAAATGAGAAGAAAACCCATTTACAAAACCCACAATTATTGCTTTCCTGTCGAAAACAAAACTGCATCCAATTTCCACCTCGCTTTCACGTTCACTCATACTCAACTGGAGCACTTCCTGTGGATGCGTCAGCGAGGCCTGTGGTAAATGCTTTTCTGTGCATGTGTGTGAAAGCGAGTGGCAGAGGGGCGTGTGTGTACACACGCATGCACAACTCTTTTCTCTGGCCTGCCACCTCTCTGAGATTGATGGTGAGAAATGTCCAACAAGGAGGAAACCTGTCTGACGTTTTAAGGACAGGGTGGAAAACACGTGATTCTCTGAGGTTGTGAGGGTGTGCATTGAAAAAGAGAATACTCACATCACTTGGAAGGGGCAGTTGGGCGTGTGGATGAATCTGAGCTCCCTGATGTAGCTTCGTGGGAGGCTGTTGACTGTTGAGCGGCAGTGGCATCTCTCCACCAGACTGATGGGCTTTGCTGAGGAAGAGAAGGAGAGATGAGTATCACTTACCAACCCAGCAATACGTGTTTAAAAAGAGCAATAAAAAAAAGATTAGATAAAGGTGTTGATCTCCTGTGGAAGCTGGGGTGCTGCTAGATATATTTTTTTTGAATATAAAGAAAATTAAACATCATCACAACAGTCAAATGAGCTGAAAATGATGGGAAACTCATAAATCCATGTATAACATCCTCTTTGACGGTTCAACAAGTTAAAGCAGCATGCAAAGCAGCTAAAGCTTCTGAAATCTGCAAAACGCCCATGCAGTGTACTGTACATCCTCCAATATCATTCATCTTTTGCAGGGTTGCAGGAGGATGGAGCAAAAATGTACCAACATTAAATCAAGATTTCATGTTTAAGCTTTACATGTTTTTCTTGCTTGCCCCACAGAACACACACAGAGGTTGGAGACATTTACATCAGCACTTCTACACCCACCAACACTAAGCTCTTTCAGTCATACACATGTGTACTGTGTGGTCCTGATGGATGTGCATAGCTACTTTCCATTACAGCCTCAGCTTTCAGAAGATTTTTGCAGTAGATAAATGTGGAAAAATAAATAGGACTGTGTTTGCTTTTTTATCATGAAAGCTACATGACATAACTCAGAGTTAATCAGGCTTCCAGCAGTGTTGAAAAAATGCATGGAGTTATTATCTTAAGGTGGAAGTACACTCAGAATAAATAAGGACATGAGCAAAACAAAATAATGACTTTTTTAAAAAGGGAAACTGAGGTCACACAAACAGATGGTGAGAAACACCGCTATAGATTAAACTCTATGCTAATTATTTTTTACACATGATCCCGCGGTATTACCATGATAAAGGGCGCAACACCTTCAAGTTGGGTGACTGATGTCGCCATGTAGACTAGCTGTGGCTTTGTCTTATAGCTGCCTCATTTGGGCGTAATTAAACGAAAACAAAAGAGCAGAACAAATACACACTCTGAACGGTGATCCGACTGGGAATGTCTACTGCTGGAGCCACATGTGTTGCCTGTTGGTGCTTTACGCACGGCGGAAATGTTTTCCCCAACTCCAAATCAAGCCCATGCATCCAATAAACTACATTTGTGCAATGAAAACTATATTTTTTATAAGAATTAAGAGGCTGGCATTTAATTTAGGCAACATTTGCACATTAATTGTATGTAATTGGAATTTTGCACTTGAATGAAATTATTTCAGTTTAATTAGATTTGTTGTGAAAAATTAGACTTAACCATGACATTTCAGGAATGATTAGTATAAACATGACATAATAAATGCAAGCATTTACCAGGGTTATATCTGCGGTCTACTATTATGTATTATATTGCGAAAAGATAGGCTAATTGTGGAATGGAAAGGCGCTTATTTAAACATTCTTCTCTCCTGATGCACTTTTAAAATGAAACTTTCTAGATAACAATATGATGCATCCTGGCAATTAAAAAGCTCTTATAACTTGCAGATAACCACTCAATTTTACACAGATCGCTGCAGATCGCTGCAGGGAAAAGTCTAGTTAAACTGAATCAACAACACACAGTAAACCACAAAATAGCTTCATACCTTGTGCTGGAGGCGTATATGTCACCACCATGAGCGCAGCCACGACTGCCAGCAGCTTCATATCCATTGTACGATAATGCCACAAAGATTTTTTGATCCTGCTCTGAGTAAAGTCCAGAGAATCTGTGACAGACGGGACCGCGCCGGAGTGTTAAATTGCGCACCAGTGTCAAGCCAGCAAGAAAAAACAGATGATACTTCCGGTCATGCATAGCAAAATAAAAGCGATAAAGGGCACATGCTTCTTTTCAACGACTATTTAACAAGTGATATCATGACCAAATTACAAACGAACCAAAAAAGTAAGATTTGTATTTCTAAAAAATATACTTTTCGCAATATGTAAGTGATTGAGAACTCACAATGTTTGTTTTATGATTTTAGGTTTGTTTTTTTATGCTTTTATTTTGTATATCGTTTCCTGTGTCAGTGGGATGATCAGGGTTGACAGCCAAATTACGCACGGAGCTCAATAGAGACGCATCACGACCCCCCACCACACGCACACACAACTACCGCCTCCTTTATCATGCGTGTAACCCAACATTTAAAAAGTCAGATTACACTCTGTAATTTAGCAGTAGTGTGTTATGGAAGATTTTTTGGCATGCCCTGCAAACTTCATAAGAAGTTAATCTGGTTCCCGTTTAGTCATCTAATAAGAAACAAAATGTGCCCACCAGGCAAACACTTGATACACTCCTCAGCTCCTTCTAGCTGTTACTGAGGCTACGAAAAGAAACAGGGGACAATTTTGCGCACGTGTTTGTTTTTAGTCACGGTTTGTCTTCTCGGGGACTTCATTGGCCCAAATTAATTAAAAGCCAAAAAGTGTAACTGGAGAGGGTTCAGTTGAGCGAAAAGTTTTGTGTTACATTGATGGTTCTAATAAATAGACAGGAGGGGTATAGAAACAACGCACACACACACACACCTCCCAGCTTGTGTTCGGAAAGGAGTAAAACTACTCTCAGTGTAAGTGACTCCCTAAACAATTCACTTTATACAACCCGCTAAAAATGTCAGATCTGTTTGTGTGTGCTCATACACACACACACTCTCTGTTGTGTTTGGTATTATTAGCGTGTTTAACGGGATGCAGATGTGAAGTCAGTTGCCAGACATTTGGCTTTCATCTTACAGAGAAAACACCCCAGTGGATAAGTGTGCATGTGTGAGTAAATGTGTATTTTTGGCGTGTGTGTGTATCAGAGGTGTATTCTTAGAGCTTTGAGATGATAACATAAATGAGCCTTGTCTCTTGCTCTGATCACACACTGCTGCTTTAATGCTTTAATACCTGGACTACTTAAACAGACATGTTTAATCCAAATACACACAACTGAACTAAATGCACCTCCACAGTATAAATATATCCGGAAATCCATTACTCTGCAAACAAAAAGCTTATACACACAGACTAAAGATGTGTTTTGTCATTTTCCTTCTCACAGAAACATGAATAACATGAATAAGTGGTTGGTTTTGTGTTTTCTATTCTTTCTTTTCCATTTATTAGAGACATATCCTCTCATCACACAGCTGTGGGAAAGCAAACCATCTGCTGACAACACACTTTATCATGAAAATGAGCGAGGAATAGAAAAGGCCAGTTCAAGGTGAATAACAGTGTTTTAAGCTTGTGATTTACTGCGTCGAGCCTTCATCATAAGCAAAGAGCAAATCCTGTGGGAAATATCTATATTAAGCATTGAATGTAAGAAAATAATGACTGCAAAGTGTTTTCACAGCCTCTTGCTTGTGCTTACTTATATGTAAATCTATGCGTGTTTATCATTTTGCGTCTGTCAGGGCCGTTTTGCTCCACACGGTGCAGACTGTCTGTGTTTTGGATCTCAAACAGTCCTTATAGATGATGCCATGGAGACCAGACAGTCAAGAGGAGATGCACAGGGCGGAATCAGCTGACAGCTGAAAGGACACATATTGACTTATCTCACAAGCCACAAAGGCTAACTTCATGTGTGTGTCTGTGTGAGTGTGTGTGTGTGTGTGTGACAGAGAGACAGAGAGAGAAATAAAAAGACAGAACAAGCAGAGAGTAAAAAGAGTGCAGTATGAAAGCCAGAGTATTTGAGTAAGGTTCTCTCAGCTTGGATTGAAAGGTGACATCAGAGGGTCTCACATCAAAGTGCCCCGATCACAACAGCTCACCAACCTGCTCGCCCTCACACAGGACGCCTGACATGTCATTACAATACACACTTTACACTTGCTGCTCTGCTACTTCCCAAACCTGTGTGAGCCTGCACAAACACCAACCGTGTGCAGTGTGGTTTACGCAAGCACAAACACAAATGAAAGTAATTTGTCTTGAACATACACACACACACATACACGAAAGTCATAAATAGGGGCCAATCTGTGACATGTCATGGGAGAGAAGCCAAAGCACATCCAGATATTTCAACATTTCTGCCACATCCGGGAGATTTACTTTCTTCTGCCGAGGTGAATGGACTGTAGTAGTATGGTTACATAAGCAGACTTGGCAGCACATCCTCTTGCCCAATTGTTTAATTCTTTCTTGCATTAACAAGTTCGGGGTCTGCATCTTCCCGAAAATAACACTCAGCTCTTTTCCCACAGGGAATTGTTTATATAAATGGTTTATCTTCCATAAAACAGAAACTGGAAGAAAGCGTTGACACCCACGCTCACATTTTAGGGAGTTTTAGGGTCAGATGGTAATAGTTTTGTGATGAACATGTGTGCTTGCATGATGCGTTATGGGGGATTTAAGCTGATTAGAGTACTGGACATTAATGCTACCTGCTCTTCTTACACCTGTGCAGTATATACTGTATGTCTGAGCTGACAAGAGTTGGTGTTCTGTGGCCCATCTGTGTGTCTCAGAGGTCTTCACTCCAGGGGTCCATCTCCTGCTCTCTGCATGAGTCATTTCTAACTGTACTCTCAAAGAAGATGGTAAGTACTTTTTTGACTGCAACTGTAAATCACGTCAGGTTGTTCTCTGATGATCCAAAGGCATAGCAGGTGTCCTCAGGGGTTTTTCAAGAACTTTGACAACCGTGAGAACATTTACGACTGCCAAGTTTGATCGACTTTTTTTTTTATTGTTGTTGTGTTATCTGTCTTTCTTTCGATTTCACCTTTTTTTTTCACTTTTGTTTTTCTGTTTTATTGGCACCACATTTAAATTCAATTGTGTTGTCAAAGCAATTAGAGGAAGAAAATGGTCAATAAAGCAAATGTGATACAGAGTAGGTTATACAAATGGAAAAATTAGAATACATTCTGTGTATGCTGTCTTCTGGTGTTATGTTTCCAAGCCATGTCAGAATGTGGACTTTGTCTTTCTAGTGGATTCTGCTCTATAATTTTCATGTTTCTGTCTTACACGTGCATGCACACAAATAAAATCAGACAGATCCTGACAGGCAAAATCTACACACTTCAAGCTTTCTCATCATAGTAACACTTTAATAAATCTGTTTTTCTGTTTTCTATCTAAATATTTACGAAGCGCACTTTACATCATGCTGCTCAATAACGTCCCTCTTCAAACACAGGGACATTCCCCAAGAACTAGGAACCTTTTGAGGAACTCAGTGCATCTCAACCACAGGGACCAGGGTCTAAATAAACTTCTGGCAACATTATCTTACCCCCCAGAAAGTCCCTGATGAAGAGATAATACTTTCCGAAAATACAGGAACTTTGAGGGTGAGGCTTGCGGTGCTGAATGTTTCTGACTGGTTCATATGACAACATCAACCACCATTTCAAAGGCAGGCCTAGTCCAGGTCCAAGCCCTATTGAACAATTATGCTGAGGATGAAACAGAATTGGGAACAGCGACCTGCAATGATAAGGTGTATGTGAAAATCTCCTCCAAGTTAAGGAAGCTGAACACTGGAATAGAGTGCCAGGAAAAGCCTTAAAATCTAAACAGGATTTCAATAAACTTAAAAAATCGTAAATGAGTCTCCATGCTGTCGTCGATGAGTCACATGCCAATAGAGTGTTAAACATTCCTCAATTACTATTCACCTATAAAGAGAGAGCACGTGACCCAGGAGACAGGAGTATGGATGGCTGAACGTATTATGTTGAAGTGGCCAGTTTCCATAGATCAGACTTTGGTTTGAGAATGTACAGGCAACTGGCCCCAGTAGGGGATCTGCTGCAGCTCCATTGAGGCTCTGAGAGGCTGAGGGCCTGCTGGCTGAGCCTTTGTCTGCTTTTCCCTACATCCTCCAGAGAGTCACGAGCCCTGCGCCTTTACACCACCATATGGACCACCTCAATGGCCTGTCAACAAAGTCTTTAGCCATAGATGTTGAATCAAAGGAGAAACAATGCTAAACAATGGCTTCATAATCACTTGTAGGTTTCAAGAAGATTGTCTGCCTTAATGTATTACTTCTAACAAAACTTCCAAGTCAGATAAAATGGCACATTTTCACATTTTTCTGGTCCCCATATTTGTTGCAGTTCTTTCTAGCAGGCACTGTTAACAGATTTCCCTCACTGTCCTTGATAATTAGCACTCTCTCTTTTCTTATATTCACTAAGATGCAATCAGCATCATGTTTTCATCTTCATCAACCTTCAAAAGGTTTGTGAGCCACACAACATCCTCCTTGTGCCACAATACTGTCATCACATAGATGCTTTAATCAGATTTAATTTTTGCAACAAATTGCACATGACAGAAGATTCTGTTTCTTGTAGATGCAGTGCACAAAACATATTACTGCAGGCAAGAAACTTAAGCTGGAATCATACTGATAACAGTGAGTTTCAATAAACGTTCAACTCACTTTACATTGCACCATAAAGTCAATTCAAAGTGAACGACACTTGTGCTAGTTTTTATGGTTTCAGCTGTGAGTTTATGCCAGAATGAGCCACATGAAGTACAGCTGCTGGTGCTGGTAAGGTTGGTTGTGGATCTATAGAGTTTGACACCTGGCACTGTCTGGCCACGGGAACAAAAACTCTTCAGCTGCTTCTGTGATGTTGCCCAGGAGGAGCCCAGAAGCAGCTCAGAGACGCATTAAAGTTCATGCAACTCTGCCGAATCGGCTTTTTGATGTCAAGACTGATGATATACTGTTGTCATGCAGTTACGGG